TTAGGGCCAGAAGGTGGCACAGTGGTTAAGGTGCTGGACTCCCATGTGGTTGACTGTGGTTCGAGTCCTGTTCCTGGCAGCCTGAAACTCACACCAGATGCATGTGCATGCCCAAGATCCCGAGAGGAGAATGGAGGAGAAGGAATTGTGGCGTGGCCATCTCCCCTGGAGGGGTGATTTCTCACTTTCTGTCTCTCTGTTTCTATGGAAAGTGCACACACTCTATAGCACAAAAAAAGAAAAAGAAGATGAAGAGGAAATCTAGGGGCCAGCAGGTGGTGTGGTGGTTAAGGTGTTGGACTCCTACATGGCCAACCACAGTTCGAGTTCTGGACGTGGTAGGTTGAAATGCACATGTGCGTGTGCGTGCCCAAAATCCCAAGAGGAGAATGGAGAAGGGATTGTGGTATGGCCATGCCCCCTGGGGGGGGGGAGTGATTTCTCACGTCCCCATTCACTGTCTCTCTCCTGCAAACACACATGCCCTATGACAATAATCTTTTAAGCGGGGGGGATCTAATTTGACTACGGGATGAGAGATGGGGCCTTTGAGAAGTGAGTACCATTAAGGTCACTGGGGTGGAACCTGGAAACAGAGACAAGTTCAGACCCTGTGCGACCTTGACCAAGTCATTCATTCATGACTGAATCCCAGTGGAAATAAGGAGAGGGAATGAAACAGAGACGTGGACACAGACACGCCAGCTCTTCCCCTCTCATCACTGTGATGCTCTGGGCCACCGTGGGACTCTGCTGGTCCCCACCAGCAAGGAGGCTGTCCCCAGATGCTGCCCCTGCACCTCGGCCGTCCACACCACAAACTGAATAAACCTCTTCTAAATCGCCCCACCTCAGGGCTTCAGTTAGTAAGCAACAAGAATAGACTCGAGGGACCAGCAGTTGGAGTAGTGGCTATGTCGCTGGACTCCCATGTAGTCAACCACGGTTCGAGTCCCAGACCCAGTACCTTAAACTCACACCGAGTGTGTGTGTGTGCGTGCCCAAGATCCCGAGAGGAGAGTGGAGGAGAAGGGATTGTGGCATGGCCATCCCCCTGGGAGGGTGATTTCTCACTTTCTGTCTCTCTGTCTCTCTCTCTGGTGAGTGCATACCCTATAGCAAAAACCTCTAAAACGACAAAAAAAAAAAAAAAAAAAAGAATGTTTCATCCTTACCTTGTTGAGCTGAACTCCACAGGATTCCTGGGCTGGAGAGAAGAGAAGAGTTAAACCCCAAGAGGAGGGGAGTTTGGGTAGCTGAGCCCAAACCAGGCTGTCCTCCCATCCCCACTTTCCCAATAAGAAAAGGGCAAAAGGTGAGCCAGCTCCCTGCTTCCAGGATGAGCCCGGGGGCCCAGAAAAGCTTGAAAGTGGAGTAGACATCCTTTCGTCATGGTGACCTTGGGCTCTGGCCCAGCAAGTGGAGCTGACTTGGTCTCGGTCCAAATGCGCCCACGTAGCTCTTGGTCCCGGCCCCCCACCATGCTGCCCCAGCCTTCCTGTATTTGAGGGAACCCTACAGTTGAGCGGATTAAGGTGCAGACTCTGGGGTCAAAGAGAAAGGGGTTGGGAGGCCACTTCCCCCAGTCGCTGGCTGTGAGCCAGAATCAGAGCCTCTTCAAGCCTTAGTTTCTTCCTCTGCGTAATGGGTGTAACCAAAGCACCTCTCCTTCCTGAGGGGATGAGACGCTGAACACACGGCAGAGGGTGAAGGGCAGAAGGCTGCCAGGAGGTGGGGCCACTGCAATTTCTGTTTGTACAACCAGCAGGGGACTGAAGAGTGCTCCCCACAAGCTACCAGGTTCTAATCCCTGGAACCCGTAACTGTTGCCTTTCCAGGAAAGAGGGTGTTTGTAGGTGCAAGTAAGCTACAGATTTTGAGAGAGAAAACCTTGGGTTCCCTGAGCAGGTCCTAACTACAGTCACAAGTGTCCTTAGGAAGAGTGGCCAGGACGGCTCGGCACACACAGAGACAGCGGTGTGAACAGGAGCGGAAAGGGACACGGCCATAAGCCAAGGAACGACCGCAGCCAGAAGAGGCAGGGAAGATTCCTCCTGGAGCTTCCAGATGTGGCCGCTCTGCGGACACGTCGATTTCATCCAGGGGAGTTGATTTCAGACTTCCGGCCTCCAGGAGGGAGGGGATAAACATTTGTTGTCTTAAGCCACCAAGTGTGTGGACATTTGTGACAGCAGACACGGGAGTCCATTAAACAGGCCTCCACGGTCCTCAAATGCCCCAGAACTTGTTCTTCCTCCCGGAACCAGCTGTGTTCATGCTTCCCTGCACAAAGGAATCACCTGGGAATTGTTAAACTCAGACTCCCAAGAACTCTGGATTCTTGGGATCATTTTTAAAGCAGTTGGGGACAGTGCTTTGGGAAACAGGACCTTCGTATCTGACAGTGATTGCAGTAAGAGGGGGCAGCGAGGAAGGAAGTCTGGCCAGGACAGCAGCAGCCCCAGCACCGAGAAGGCCCCAGACTTCCTCAAGGGGGTTGTAGCATGGGCAGGAGACAGCATCTACTTTTTTTTTTTTTTTTTTTTTGAGAGATTTTCACTGTAGGGCGTGTGCGCTCGCCAGACAGACAGAGACATAGAGACAGAAAGCGAGAAATCACCCCCCAGGGGGGATGGTCACGCCACAATCCCTTCTTCTCCATTCTCCTCTCGGGATCTTGGGCACGCACGCACGCACGCACGCACACGCGCCCGGCGTGAGTTTTAAGCCACCGGGTCCGGGACACGAACCGCGGTCGACTACGTGGGAGTCCAGCGACATAGCCATTACGCTAACTGCTGGTTCCCACAGCGTCTACTTTTAAAGAGGGTTGCATACATCTCAAAGGGGTAAAGAGAGGAGTTATGAGGACAGGTTTTTAAAGTAGATGCTCAAGACCAAGTGTCTGCACTCTGTGACTGAAATTGATTGACTAAAGGTTATAGAAACCCAGCATGTGGCTATAAACACCAGATATAGCGTGTGTGAAAGAGGAGGGTCTGAGGAAGGACATTTAGGAGAAAAACAGGGAGGCAAAGCATTAATGGGACAAAGCAATGTGGTACTATATGTTGAAGATATTTTATAGTTTCAGCAATTGGACTAAGGAGAAATGTTCACCGGTTGAAATATTCACTCTGTAAGCTAAATAATGTGATTGAATGTATAAAAGAAAATGAAATAAAAAAAGTTAAAAAAAAAAAAAAGTAGATGCTTGGGAACAGCAGTTGGCATAATGGTTAAGTCACTGAACTCCCATGTAGTTGACCACAGTTCAAGTCCCAGACTCGGTGGCTTAAAACTCATGCCAGGTGCATGTGTGTGAATGCCCAAGATCTCAAGAGGAGAATGGAGGAGGAGGGATTGCGTGGCCATCCCCCACGGGGGAGATTTCTCGTTTTCTGTCTCTCTCTGTCTTTCTGGTGCCTGTACGCGTCCCATAGCAAAACACCTCTCAAAAAAATAAAAATTAAAAAAAGGTAGATGCTCTAAGAAAGGAATGAGGCAGTATTTCCATTCCTCTAACTGGGAGGAGTAATTTAAGAAAATTTTTCAGTGTATTTACTTTATTCATGATAGTGTGTGCAGGTGAACAGGGGGAGAAAGAGAGAGGCACCCTCAACAGGGACACAATCTCCTTCCCCAGATCCCCAACTCGTTAGGACCTTGGGCGCATGTGCACACACCGACACGCTCCAGGTCAGCTGGGGATCCAACCTTGTCAGCCGTGGGACTTCCAGAGCTATGGTTTACGATGCTACTGCCTGTGCCGCTGAGCCTGGGCCTTGAATTGATATTTACCCTTGAAAAGGCGCCAGTATCAACTCTCTAACGCCTCCTCACAGCCCACGGAGGACATCCTGTTATCAGCCTCATTTTGTTGATGAGAAAAGCAAAACCCAGAAGGCTAAAGATCTGCCCAAGGCGACACAGCCAGGATGTGGGCGCACGCTCTGTGCTGTGTGGGAGGCAACATGGAAACCGAGAAGTTCAAACCCTGCGTGACCTTGGCCAAGTCTCTCTGGGCCTCACTTTCCCTCCTCTCCATTGGAAAGAGTAATACACACAGCCTCTTCCTAAAGTAGACGGAAGGACTTCATGAGTAAACCCAGAACCATCCAGGCCCACAGCTCTCTGAACTAGGTCTGTAACCGCCGCACCTAGAAATATTTACGATGAACGAGGTCATGATTCCAATAGCTAGAACGCAGTGGGTACTATACAAATCTCCTTATAACTAATAAAAATGTTTATTTTAACAGTGTTATTGGGACGAGCAGTTAACGTAATGTCTATGTCACTGGACTCCCATGTAGTCAACCGCGGTTCGAGTCCCAGACCCAGTGGTTTAAACTCATGCTGGGTGCGTGTGTGTGTGTGTCCAAGATCCTGAGAGGAGAATGGAGGAGAAGGGATTGTGGCATGGTCATCCCCCCTGGGGGGTGATTTCTCGCTTTCTCTCTCTCTGTGTCTCTCTGTCTTTCTGGTGAGCGCACGCGCCCTATAGCAAAAACCTCTCCACAAAAACAAAACAAAACAAAACAACAGTGTTGTTAATAATAGATCGACACAGTGACCATCTGCCATGTGCAGGCACCGGCTAAGCTCTGATGATGCCAGTGGATTGTCACACTTAGGAGGTGATGGCTGCCTTTATCCCCACTTCACAGATGGGGAAACCAAGGCAAGAGTGGTTGGGTCACCCTCCAGGGTCGCCACTGCTAGGGGCTGGCGGAGGACCTGCACTCGCTGCTGTCTGACTTGCAAGCCCGGAATCTGATCACGACACTAAACTCAGCACAAGTGGGAAGTGCCCCAGGCCAGCCCCCAGCTCCCAGCCTCTACCTCCAGTTCCTGAGCATGTTCCTTCCTGCGGCCTGCCCCCTCCATCCTCGTTGCCCCCAGTAGCTGCAAGTGCAGCTCCCACGTCAGCATCCCTCCCTGTACTCCTTTTCACGCCATCCTGGCTCTGGGGCCTCTGAGGGGCCCAAGGCTGGTACCTGGGATCTCATGACCCCAACGAAGTAGCCGGCCGTCCCTGTGAGCGCCACGCCGATCAAGACGCCCAGGGCGATCCCCGCGATGCCCCCACTAGGAATAGCAGTCCTGACCAAGGAGGGCTGCAGGTTGTCCTCAGGAGCCTCTGCAGGGAGGGAGACAGAGAGAGAGGGAGGAGTGTCAGTATCAGGGCTCTGGGTCACGGGTCCTCAGGGAGGACTTGCCCTTTCTGTGTGCAATTCAAACCCCACTCCACTCCCGTTTTACAGACTGGGAAACTGAGGCCTGGAAGGGAACGTGTTGGATCAGGTCATAGAGATACTAGTCAAAGGCAATGGCAATGATGACTTCATACCTGGCTAACATATCAGCTTTTTTAAAGTTCTTTTTTTGGCTCTCTTCAGAGAGAGACAGAGAGACAGAGAGACAGAGAGAAAGTGAGAAATCACCCCACAAGGGGATAGCCATGCCATCCCTCTCCTCCACTCTCCTCTCAAGATTTGGGGCATTGGGACCAGCAGTTAGCGTAATGGCTGTCGCTGAACTCCCATGTAGTTGACCGCAGGTCGAGGAATGGCTGTCGCTGAACTCCCATGTAGTTGACCGCAGTTCACGGCCCGGACCCGGTGGTTTAAAACTCACACCAGGCGCGTGTGCGTGCCCGAGAGGAGAATGGAGGAGAAGGGATTGCGGTGTGGTCATCCCCTCTAGGGGGTGATTTCTCGCTTCCTATCTGTCTGTCTGGCGAGGACATGCACCCTATAGCAAAAAACTCTCAAAAAGAAAAAAAAAAAAAAGATTTGGGGGATCCAGCTTTCGAGGGTCCCAGAAGCACGTGGCAGGATCCTCCACCCACTGCCCAGGGAGGAGCAGGAAGCCAGCACCTTTACTCTCCCTCCTACGCGACTCATCCCATTCCCCTCTCATGTACCGTGAGCCGCAAAAATAACTCAGAAGTGCCCGTTGTTGGTGTGGACAAGGCCACCCAGCAATCCAGTAGCAGAACCAGAAATGGAACCCGCAGGACCTGGCTCTCGGGCAGCTGCTGCTACTGGACTATGAACTCCTGAGGACGCCACCCGCTTTGCAGTCAATTCTTTCCCCTGGGAGAGCTAGACTGCCAGGATTTCTGCAGACACTTAAACGCTGCTCCATAAATAGCCCACTTTCATCAAATAAGGATGATGAATTCAAGAATTAAAAACTTGCACATTAAAACTACCTTAAAATACCGTTTGAAATATGCATGTGCACACACACACACACACACACACACACACGAAAGATGAACACCACACTGGGGACAAAGCTATAGAAAAACACAGCCAGTAGGAATGTCAAACGGTACCACTCCTATAGAAAGGAACTTGGTGAAATTCTGTATTCTTTTCCCTATGACCCCAAATCTTACTTCTGAGAATTTACCCTGAAGATGTATCTCCATAAATATAAAAAGGGTATTCTTTCCAGCACTGTGTTGAAATAGCCAGTGTGGTGGGTTGAACAGGGGCTGTCCCCAAGACTGTGATTGACACTTTACTGGGAAAAAGGGTTTTTGCACTTATAATTAAGAATCTCAAGACAAGGTAGCTCTGGGGTCGGCTGTACAGCTCAGTGGTTAAGCGATGTGCACAAAGAGCCCGATTCCACATGGCTGGCGGCAGCCAGAGTCCTGGCTCCAGGGGCTCGAAAAACATTGCAGAGTGTGGATGAGCGTGTGTGGCCAGAATCCTGAAAGGAAGGCGAAATGGAGGGGAAAGGACCGCGGCGTGACCACACCCCCACTAGATGGTGCGTTCTCTTTCTTTCTTTGTCTCTCCCTGTCTCCCCTGGCAATTAAAGAAAATTGAACAATAAGATTATGCTGGATTATCTGGGTGGGTCCTAAATCCAATGACAAGTGTCCTATAAGAAGCGGAAGAGGAGAAAACACAGAAACAAAGGAGAAGCCCATGAAGACAGAGGTGGACATTGGAGTCATGTAGCCACAAGCCCAGGGATCCCAGGAACCACTAGAAACTGAAAGAGCCTAACAAAGATTCTCCTCTAGGGAACCAGCAGTTAGCGAAATGGCTATGTCGCTGGACTCCCACGTAGTCGACCGCGGTTCACATCCCGGACCCGGTGGCTTAAAACTCACGCTGGGCACATGTGCGTGTGTGCCCAAGATCGCGAGAGGAGAATGGAGGAGAAGGGATTGTGGCATGACCATCCCCCCTGAGGGGTGATTTCTTGCTTTCTGTCTCTCTGTCTCTCTCTGTCTGTCTGGCGAGCGCATCCGCCCTATAGTGAAAATCTCTCAAAAAAAAAAAAAAAAAGATTCTCCTCCAGAACATTTTGCAGGGATCTTGACCCTGCCAACGTCTTGATTTCAGATTTCTGGGCTCCAGAACTGTGAGAAAATAAACTTTTATTGTTTCTAGCCATGCAATTTATAATAATTTGTTGCAACATTCTTAGAAAACGAGTATGGTCAGATACTGGAGAGAACCGATGCAATTGTCTAGTCTGAGTCTGATTGGATATGGCACATACATACACTTCTAAAAGTGACCAATTAAACCCAGTACATCCACACAATGTAGTGCTATCCACACAATGTTGCTGTAAGGAAAAAAGAATTCTGAGGCCAACAGGTGGCACGGTGACTAAGGTACTGGACTCCCACATTGCCATCCGCAGTTCAAATCTCAGACCTGGTGGCTTGCTTTCTTGCTTTCCCTCTCTGTCTCTCCCTGGTGAGCCCATGAGTCCCATAGCAAATTTAATAATAATTACTATAATAAATAAATAATTATGTTTTTAAGATTCCAATGTACTGGGGATCAACAGGTAGCATGGTGGTTAAGGAGCTGGACACTACCACATGACTGATCATGGTTCAAGTCCTTTCTGTCTCTCTCTCTCTCTCGTCAAATTAAAATAAAATGAATGAATAAATAAAATTAAATTAAATGATTCATTTTTTAAAAATTCCAATGTATTGATTTGACCTAGTAGTTCAAACATATTGTTAAATATAAAAGCAATGGGGAACCAGCAGTTAGTGTAATGGATATGTCACTGGACTCCCATGTAGTCAACCATGGTTTGTGTCCTGGACCCGATGGCTTAAAACTCACGCCGAGCATGTGTGCGTGCGTGCCCAAGATCCCGAGAGGAGAATGGAGGAGAAGGAATTGTGGCGTGACCATCCCCCCTGGGGGGTGATTTCTCGCTTTCTGTCTCTATGTCTCTCTCTGTCTGTCTGGCGAGTGCACGCGCCCCATAGCAAAAACCTCTCCAAAAAAAAAAAATATATATATATATATATAAAAGCAATGAACATGATATAAAATCCATATTTATTTACTTGAAAAAGGAAATATTGGAAGGCCCAATCAAAAACTAACATTAATGCCTTTTTTAAAAGAATTATTTTATTTAACTTTATTTATTTATTTATTTTAATTTGGCCTAAGAGGGACAGAGTAACAGGGAGAGAGAGAAAGAGAGAGAGAGAGAGAGAGAGAGAGAGAGGAAAAGTGAGAAAGTAAGCCGCCAGGTCCAGGACGCAGACTTGTCAGCCATGTGGGAGTTAAGTGCCCTTAACCACCATGCCACCTGCTGGCCCCAACATTAATGCCTTCTTAAGTGAGTTGGCAGGTAGAGCGGAAAGCAATAAGACAGGGTTCTCTCTGAATACACCTTCTTATATTATTTTCACTTCTGAATCATTTAAATGTTTCACAATTCAAAAATTAGAGTAGAAAAAATAAGTCTGTAAATCAAAAATAAGCAGAAATAAAGGCACCCGGTCATTATGCAATTGGTAACATAACTGTAGAGAGAAAACAATTATGTCAAGTGATTTTTGAAAATGGTATTCTGACTGCATCCTAAAAAGACATAAGGGTAAAAAGATCTGCAAATAAATATTAATTATTGTCAGGAATTAAGATTTTATAGTGGAAAAGGAGATACACGAATACCAAATCAAAAAATAAATAAAAACATCTGTGATATTAAAAAAAAAAAGATTTTGTCATGCACACACACGCAGCTAGAATGTTTTTCAAGCTGCTGGGTCCAGGACTAGAAACATAGTCGGCCATGTGGGGTCCAGCACCCTTGCCTGCATACCACCTGCTAGCCCAATAATCTCATTTTTTATTATTTCTCAAGAAAGCTCTTTAAGTATAAGACAAGTTTTATTAATATCCTCACTTTTCAGAGAGTGAGAGGCAGACAGAACTACCTACTCATGGCCATCTGTGTGGTAGGTTAGACTTCGAAACATGCTGGGGGTGCTGTATCTCTCTCTCACTTATGGAAGAAATAAACTAAACAATCAATGTCATAGTTAAGTAAATCAGGCTGGCTCCATGGCCTGGTGGTTAAGGCAGGCAGATCTCACATGGCCAACCACTCAGTTCGAGTTCCAGAGCTGATAGCTTGAAAAACATATGGGGTACATGTTTGTGCATGCCCAAAATCCCCAAAGGAAGGGAGAGATGGAGGAGAAGGAACTGTAGAATGACCTTTCTTCATGAGTGGGTGCATTATTCTCTCTGTCTCTCTCTGGGGAATGTGTGTGCCCTCTAACACCACCACCAAATAAGGTAATTAGATGCTGTGTTAGGAGATAAGAGCAGTGGAAAGGAGAGGACCATAGAACAGAAGAGAAATCAGGAATAAAAGGGGAGTGGGATAATTTATAATCTTAAAGAGGCTGGTGTTATGGACTGAAGGTTTGTGTCCCATAAAACACATATGGTGAAATCCTATCCCTCCATATAGCGGTGTAAGGAGGTGGGACCTTTGTGGGGTGATTAGCTCATGAGGACTCCACTGTGTGTTCTATGTCTCATTTCTCTCCTGAAGTGTAAGCTCTAGGATTTTTGGCTCTTCTGCTTCCTGCTATATCCCTCCAGTGCTTCAAAAAGTGCCTGGCACACCATAGGTGCTAAATAAATGTTTGTTGCATGAGAAATAGATAAATAAGATCCCCAGAGGCCATATAGTGCAGGAGTTCAGCATATGGGCTCTGGCATCAGTGTACTTAAAATTTTTTTTTAAGAAGTTTTTGCTATAGGGTGCGTGTGCTATAGAGAGAGACAGAGAGATAGAAAGCGAGAAATCACCCCCCAGCGGGGATGGCCACACCGCAGTCCCTTCTCCTCCATTCTTCTCTTGGGATCTTGGGCATGCACACATACGCGCCTGGTGTGAGTTTCAAGCCACCGGGTCCGGGATGCAAACCATGGTCAACTACATGAGAATCCAGTGACATAGCCATTATGCTAACTGCTGGTCCCAGTGTACTTTAAATTCCAATCTACATGTGTGATTGTGAGTAGGCAGTTCAACCCCATGAGGCATGGGATTCAGGCCCTCATAAAAGAGACTTTGCAGAGTTCTCTCATGACTTCCACCATGTAAGGATGCAGAGAGAAAATGGTCTTCTATGAACCTCTTCAGACACTTAGTCTGCCTGCATCTGGTTCTTTGACTTCCCAGTCTTCAGAACTCTGAGGAGTCCATTTCTGTTGTTTGTAAGCCATGCAGTCTATGATATTTGTTAGAGTAGCCTGAACAGACTAAGGCACAGGGCCAAGATGGGCTTTACTGAAAGGAACTTCTGGGGAAAGACCTGAATGAGGGTAGGAAGCCATGAAGACATCATCAGGAAAGAGGAATCTTTTTTTTTTTCCTCTCTCTCTCTCTTTTTGGAGAGGTTTTTAGCTATAGGGCGCATGCACTCACCAGAAAGACAGAGAGAGACAGAGAGACAGAAAGTGAGAAATCACCCCCCCAGGGGGGATGGCCATGCCACAATCCCTTCTCCTCCATTCTCCTCTCAGGATCTTGGGCACGCACGCACACGCACCCGGCATGAGGTTAAGCTACCGGGTCCAGGACGCGAACAGTGGTCGACTACATGGGAGTCTAGCGACATAGCCATTACACTAACTGCTGGTCCCAGGAAAGAGGAATCTTGAGGTAAGATGATGTCAGGCCTGTTTGGGGAACTGCACAGCGGCCAGTGGGGCTGAGAGTGAGTGAGAGCTGAGTCACAGGAATCGAG